CAGGAATGCAGGCAGGGGCAGATCCAAGCAGAGGAGAATGTTGGAACTGATGTAGAAGAGCCATTTCAAGAAAAACTGCAAAGCTTTAAGGAAAGTTGGTGGTGGAAGATAAGAAAGTAGTTACTCTACAAATGTCTTCGCCGGTGAAATCCAAAATGACTCTCTGGTGTTATCTCTAGTTAGTACGAAATCTTGGATAGTAGATTCAAAGTGTCTTTTTTCATGTTTGCCCCAATAAAAAAGTATTTAAAAATTACACTTATAGTGATTTAGGGAAGTTTTATTCGAGAGATAATAATGCCTACAGTATAGTAAGAAAGGCTGATGTTGCTATCAAACTGTCGAATGAAATAGTCTGGAAACTTACTAAAGTTAAGCATGTTCCAAGTTTGAAAAGAAATATCATCTCCGTGAGCCAGCTGACAAAGTCATGACTCGTGATAACTTTTACGGTGGTTCGTGGGAGGCGATGAGGGGGGCATTAGTGATGGTATAGGGCAACATTGAAGGCACCTTTATTTGATCAATGAAATTACTAATTTCATTGATGTGGCTCGACTAGGGTGGATGCAGGTTTTGTGACACCGTAGGCTTGGTCCTATGAGCTAGAATGGTATGAAGTTTCTACTTTCAAAGAATAAGCTTTAGGATTTGAAATCAGTTGATCTGGATTTCTGTGAAGATTGTATTTATGGCAAGTAGAACAAATTTTCTTTCTTTAAGAGTGAGTCAGTGGTGAAATAAAAAAAAACTGGAGTTGTGCATACTGATGTATAGGGTCCTACTTCAGTTTAATCCATCGAAGATTCTCGCTATTTTGTCACGTTCATTAATGATCACAAGAGAAAGTTTTGGGTTTATTTCTTAAAACAAAAATTTTATGTGCTTGAAGTTCTTAAGAAGTGGAAGGCTACGGTAGAAAATGAGACAGACTTGAAGTAGAAGTGACTCATATTATATAATTAGTGCGAGTATCGTGATCAAAAGTTCAAAAATGTTTTATAGAGAGGGCCAGACATGAGTTCACTGTCCCAAGGACACCACAACGAGATGGTGTAGCTAACCGCATACAAAACAATCACGGAGCGTGCTAGGAGCAGTAGACTGCATGCAGGCTTGCCAAAATAGTTTTGGGCTGAAGCAGTAAACATTACAGTTTATTTGATTAACCATAGTTCATCAGTATCTTTGGAGGAAGGCTTACTTGAAGAAGCTTGGAGTAACAAAAAGATTTGTATAGCTTATTTAAGAGTATTTGGGTGTTCTGCATATGTGCATGTTTATGCAGAGTTTATGAGGAAGCTTGACTCAAAAGTATGTCTATTGCGTCTTCATTGGATATGACTCGATGAATTTGAGTACAAATACTGGGATTATCAAAATAAAAAAAATCATCAGGAACAGATACATCACTTTCAGTGACATGAAGATGTACAAGAACGATGTCAGAACTTGGGACAAACCGTCAGCTACTTCTGAAGAATCCAGATGTGTTGTGATAGAAAATACTGGTGATCGGAGGACAGAGAAAGAAGAAGTGCTTCTCCAGAAGGGGCACAAGAAGTTCTTCAGTCACATGCTACAAAAGTCAGAAGATCCAACAGAGTGATATGACTTGTACAAATGTATTTTTCTTCTTTACACTGTTTGTTACTAACAAATAGTGTTGAACCAGAGTGCCTTAAGGAGACCACTCAAGTTGAAGGTTCAAGGGAGTATGAGCTTGCTATGGATGAAGAAATGCAATCTTTGGAGTCAAATCAGATTTGTGATTTGACGGTACTACCAAATGAGAAAAGAGCACTATACAACAAGTGAGTCTAAAGGCTGAAAGCAGAGTCAGATGGTAGCACCGCTACAAGGCAAAACTTGTTTCTAGAAGAAGGAAGGAGTGTATTGCACAGAGATCTTCTCTCAAGTGGTGAAGATGACGACTGTCAAAGTTGTGCTAAGTTTGATAGCAGAGGAAGATATGCATTTGGAGCAGATGGATGTAAACATAACTTTCTTATATGGAGATGTAGAGGAGGAACTGTACATGATACAAACACAAGGTTACGAGGTTCCGAACAAATAATGTTTGATATGCAGATTGAAGAAGAACCTTTGTGGCTTGAAGCAAGCCCCAAGACAGTGATACAAGAGATTTGATAGGTTCATGTTAGACAATGGGTACTTAAAGTTCTGGGCAGACCATTGTTGTTTCATCAAACACTTTGATAATTGCTATATCTTACTTTTTTTATATGAGGGTGACATGTTGATTGTAGGGGCAAATATACAGAAAATCAGGGAATTGAAGAAACAAATATCAAGTGAGTTTGAAATGAGGATTTAGGTCCAACCAGGAAGATCCTCAGGATGAGAATCAACAGGGACAGGAGTGCAGAAACGTTGAAGTTGTCACAGGTAGAGTATGTCAAGAAGATCCTACAGAGGTTCAATATGAATGAGACGAAACCAGTTAATACTCCCTTAGGTAGTCACTTCAAACTATTTAAGAAGCTATCACTTAACTCTAAAGCAGAGAAAACACAGATAGAGAGAATTTTGCATGCTTCAGCAGTTGGAAGTTTGATGTATGTGATGATTTGTATCAGACCAAATATTGCATGTGCAGTGGGAGTAGTCAGCTAGTGCATGAGCAATCCAAACAGGTATCGTTGGGAGATGGTAAAATTGATTTTCAGGTATCTGAGGGTAATATGACACTTTTTTATGGAAGTGCAGTGATCAGTCTACAGTGATTTGTATATTCAGATCTGATAGGAGATATGAATAGTAAAAGTAAAATGGTGAATTGGGTTTCTAGGTTGCAGAAGATCATTGTGCTTTCAACTACGAAGCCAAATATATTGTTATCACTGAGGCTAGCAAGGAGATGATTTGGCTACAGAGTTTCATGGAAGAATTAGGCAAGGAGCGAAGGATTAAAAAAATATACAGTGACAGTATGAGTACAATTCTTCTTGTTAAAAACATTGTTTTTCATTCCAGGACGAAACACAGTCAACTGATGTATCATTTTATTTGCTCTCTCCTTGAAGATGAGCAGTTGTTCTTGGAGAAGATACGCACAACTCAGAATCTTATGAATATGTTGACGAAATTGGTGACTATTAAGAAAATGAAGCTATGCTTGGCTTCAGTTGGGTTTCATAAGGGTTGAGAACAGGGGTGAGCCACACCATTGTACGAGACCACGGTATGTGATGATGAAAGCAATTCAATGGAGGTCCAGGTACAAAGGACTGGTATTGGGTGCAATTAGTCTCCAAGTGGGAGATTGTTATGTTGTGGAGCCTGATTGGAATACCATGGTGAAAGCAAGCAGAAATCCTGGCGCATAGGTGCCAGCTATGGGTGCTCAAGCGTCCATTGGGTGCAGTTTGGCAGAGAGGTCGACGCTATGGGCGCATATGCGCCCATTATATTGTGGGTGCAGTAGTGGAGTTGGCACATAGGCGTCAACCTTGGCCGCCAAAGCGCTCACTTGGCGCTTTGGTCCAAATAGCTTGAGGCATAGACGCCTATGCGCCAGGGGCAGTTTGTACTGGTTTTTAGTTTTTATATCCAAATTCAAGCGGCGTAATTTAGTGGCTTGGGATTTCTTCCTTCGACATTCTTTGACGAGCATCCCAGTGAAGGAGAGAAGTGTCGAAGAGGTGAATTTCAGTGATTCAGCTTGATTTTTACGTCGGATCAGAGAGGAAAGATTGTCGAGCGAGTCCTGTAAGTTTCTTTGTGTAGAGAGAAAACTAGTGTGATTTCTCTGTAAAGCTTTCTGAATTTTATATTGGAATTTTTGGTGGTACGTGGTTTTTTTCCATTCTTATGTTTTTCCACGTAAAATTCTCGTGTGCATTTTTTTGTTGCTTTGATTGTGCTTTCTATTTAATTCTTTGTTCCGGTTTTCTCGAACTGGTGACATTCTCTTGTTCTGTAGTGTGGTTTAGTTTCTAATCGATCATAAGCCCTGATAAAGATGGGGATTGTTCTTAGGATTCTTATCAAAACTTTATGCTTAAATTTACTATAACTATGTATATTATAGAAGCTTTGTACCTTCTAAGTTTGAGATATAAGTTTGAGATAAACCCATTCGCCTCTTTTCACTTGAAATCCCAACTCTGTTACTTCTTGAAATGTGATTTGACACGAAGATGCTAGTTGCTTTTGAAATGTTAGTGGTTTTTCTTATTAAGCGTTGTTGTTATGAAGTTTTTATTTGTGGAAAGGATGAATGAACTGGTTATAAAGTTGGGGCGTTTACATACATACCACCAAATTCCAATGTATTTACATATCTAACACTCATACTTTTTTTTTAACCTTTCCTCTGCTCAAACCTTTCATACCACATCGAAAATACCTCCATCTCAACTTTTAAAAAGTGAAAGAAACATTTTCATCAATAGGAAAGGTGGCATGTACGTAAAAATTGAAGTATAGGTGTTAGATATGTGGGATTCATAACAGTCTGAGTGGTATGCATGTAAAATCTTCGTATAAAGTTTTAACCTGTGAATGTAATTATTCTTGTACCTATGACCATACAAAATGGATGCTATATTTAGGCTTATATCTGTGAATGTAATTTTTTTTATCTTCCTTATCATCATCCTTAGCTCGGTTATTTGGTGTCTGGATTCTTTTAATTTGATTCTTCCTTACTATAGGTTCATATCTAAAATGAAAATTGTTTCAGTTGTGGAATTCCTTCGCTTTTTTGGCATTATTCATTGTCCTTACTGTATGTTCTGTTACTTTGTACAAAATTACAATGTTTCTTCAGTTTAGCAACATCTGTGGAAATTACATTTCAATTTCATATGATGTTATTGATTCACATATGACAACATAAAAACTGATCTATGGGACACTTCAACTTAATATAATGTTATAGATTTGTGGAGAGCATTAGAGAAGAAACTTGATAGAAATGAGTACAGCCAAAGTGAAACGCTGTGTGGGCAAATATGAGCTCGGCCGGACCATCGGCGAAGGAACTTTCGCAAAGGTCAGGTTTGCAAGAAACTCCAAGACAGGGGACGCTGTTGCTATCAAGATTCTTGATAAGGAGAAGGTTCTTAAGAACAAAATGGTTGAACAGGTTTTCTTCGAACTTATATTACTTTTAAATTTCTCATGTTAAGTTGCTTGTCGATTTGGGGGGAGTTGGAATCTAGCACATGAGCATTTCATCCGACCAAATCTGTAAAATTTCTATAATTTACAAAGTTTGGGAGAAATTCTTAGAAGATAAATTTCACCTTTTAAAAATTAAAATATTGTCATTTTTTATGTGATATGAAAGATTTGGGCGGTGTAAATATAAAAAGTAAAGTTTATATGGTCTAGGAAAATTTACATGCCCAGCACACAATTCTTATGTATTTAGATATCTCACACCTAAACATGCATATTTATATAGATAGTACTTTGATGCTTCAAACCTATGCATGAAACCTGTATCTTACTTTTAAAATGGTAATACTGTTATTTTTGATGTGATATTAAATATTTAAGCGCTATGTTTGTAAATATGAAAGTTTAAGTGTGAGATATGTAAATCATAAAAATTGTGTGCTATTTATGTAAATGCCACGTTAGTCTATTACATTGATAAATGCATACTTCTCTTGCTTGGTTTCTATTTTGAGGGAAAAAAAAGTCTTTAGTTCAGTAGCTTTTTGAGAGGAGGGAGAAAGAAAAGGAGGGAGGAGGGTCAAATAGACAGAGAATTTCTGGGTTATACGAAGAATTAACAATATGAATTTCTACTAACCATTACTATGTGCATACCAAAATGCATACTTCGACTGAGCCATATATTTTTGGAGTCACTCAAAAAGCTAACAATGTGAATTTCTAAGGGGCTGTTTGGTATCATATTTGATTTTGATTTTGATTTTCTTTTTTAATTTTGATTTGAAATAAAATATATTTGGTAGTATGTTATTTCTAAGAAGTTTAAAAATATTTGAAAGTTATTTTGAGTATTTTTAAAAAAAGATTGATTTGTTTTTAAAAATAAATATAAAGACATGTTAAAAGTGAACGAAATGGTTCTCTTTAGCTTGCGATTCTATTTGAACTCAAAGCCAACCAACTCATGTCGTGTTTCTCAACACTGCAGATCAAACGGGAAATCGCTACTATGAAGTTAATCAAACATCCTAATGTTGTTCGTCTTTATGAGGTAACTTTCCAAGCTTTTCATCATTTTTTTTCTGTATTTTAATTTAATTTTCAGCTTTATTACCTGCTCACTTTTCCTACGACTGTCAATAACCAGTATAATTTGTTGTCATGATGGTGCTCAAGTTTCAAAATGCATATTAACAGTCTTGATTTTCACACTTCTCTACTTTCACCTATTAATTTTGTTTATATTTCTTCTTAAAAGTCTTGTTTTGTGAATTGCTCTTCTTTAAGTATTTATTTAAATTTCTTCATTATGCATAACTCATACACTCATATGGTAAGTGACTACTCTTATGAATGTACTTGGTCTGTCAAATTTATTCGAGCGGCGAATGTTATAAGAAGGATTTGTTCTGGCAAATCATCCATTTTTTGTGTTTTCAGGTTATGGGAAGCAAAACAAAGATTTTTCTTGTTCTTGAATTCGTTAAGGGGGGAGAGCTATTTGACAAAATTGTAAGTCTCCAAGTATCTAATTTTGCGCTCATTTTTCATCTCTCATAGCTATCTTGAAGTCTTTCTTAGGGGACATTTACATATATACCACACAATTCTTATATATTTACATATCTAATACCTAAACTTTCATATTTACATACAGAGCACTCAAAGTTTTGACATCACATTGGAAATATTACAAACTTCTTAAAGTAAAATACACATTTTCATGCATAGATTTTTACTATAAAACTTTAGGCATTCGACATGTAAATGCGTAAGAACTATTTGGCATGTATGTAAATTTCCCCTTTTTTACTGTAAAAGTTGACTTCCTTGTTATAAGTTACAGTAGTCACAAGTTTTTATATTTTTTTGTAATTGATATTATCATTTGGGGGAGGAGGTGCTAGTAAGTCTGCAAGCTCATGACTCTAAATCTGTGCCCTCCCAAAGAATAGCAAAATCCATAACTACAAAGCAATCAGGCTGTCATAACATAATCATATTTGAAATCTATTTTTTTTTTCTGAAATAATTGCTATAAATAATGAAGGTTAACCATGGCCGGTTGAGGGAGGATGAAGCAAGAAAATATTTTCAGCAACTAATTAATGCTGTTGATTACTGCCATAGTAGAGGCGTTTACCATCGCGACTTGAAGGTATGTTTTTATAAAATGCTAAAAAAATTTAGATTATTTCATTCCAAGTGATCTTATTTATTTGCTGTAATTTCTTTTTTTTGGCAGCCAGAAAATTTACTACTTGATGAAAACGGTAATCTCAAAGTCTCAGATTTTGGATTAAGTGCACTGTCTCTGCAAGTAAGGGTAAGTTAATCTATTCAAACATCAAAGCTGAATATTTATGTAATATGGGGAAAAAAAAAGGCTTTTTGGCTTAAATTAGTTTAAATGAAACCTCAATATTTTTGTAATATGGAAAGCTCTGTTTTATGCCATCTATAAGCTGAATTTGTTTGGAGAATTTTGTAAAAGAAATTTTGTTAAGATAGATGAAATTGTGAGGTGCAAACTTTTTTTTAATTTAAAAAGGAACTTGTTTACCTATGCTAGCGGACTAGCTTCTCTCCATAAGTTTTGCAACTTGGGGGATTATATTTTTGTATATATTTTTGAAAATTTCAAATTATAAATCTCTTATACTTTCTTATATTTAAAATTAAAATTTTCTTTAATTTCTCTTTTGTACAAATAGAAAACTTTCAGCTAATTTTTTTTTCCACAGTTGATTAGTTTGAAGTTAGCAATGAATTAGTATTCTTGTAGGGCTATACATAGCCTCTATTTGAAGATATTGAATGAATGATATGTGTGAGATAAGTTTCCCCAAAATCTGTGTTTGCTTCCCTTTATCTCCCCTATATTTAAAACTTCCTCACTAGGTTGTTTCACGCCGGAATCGCCGTTGGTGCTACGAATCTGCCGACAAAGCACGTCGGACCACGTGCTACAAAAAACTCCGGCAACACACGCCGGATTTGCTCTCGTCAAAGCCGAACCACTCTCAGATAACGAACCCGAAGCTCTGATTCCAATTGTTATGTGAAAACAATGCGGAAGTGTAGAAATTTACATAACAACAATCAAACACAAAAGATTTACGTGGTTCAGTGTTGAATTGATTCATCTACGTCCAGGAGAGGGAGATTTCACTAGTATCGGATTGGGAGAAACAAAGAACGGTCTAGGGTTACAACTCAACACTTTCGCTCCATACCTCTCTCACGAGTACTAGGTTCTCATTTATGGAGGAGACTTAGAGCATATAAGAAAATAAATAAAAAAAGAAACAAATCAATTAAAATGATACCACAAAACAACAACTATAACGCTCACCAATTTGTATTATTGATCTATATGTTGTATTCAAAATATCCATTTGTCCTGTTGCATTTTCATTCATCTTTTTGCTGACCTTTCTATAATAAATACTAACTTTTTATGAAACCTATTTGCAAAATTCTTACAGGTAATAGTTTCTGTGATGGTGTAGATACTTGCAATGCTCTTTAATTAATATACTGTGAAAATCTTTTTTTTTTTTTTTTTTTTTCTCGGGTTTTTTATTTTATTGATCTCTTATTTTTAATTTCTGATATAGTTTTGTTGGTTAAATTCGATTTTTGATGTTAAATCATAATTAAAATTTCATCTAGGCTGATGGTTTACTTCATACTACTTGTGGGACTCCAAATTATGTTGCTCCAGAGGTAAGGATAATTTTGGATTATTTTTATATTTGTTGTTTTATAAAACACTATAACAAATGTATTTTTTTTAATTAATTTCTATACTAGGTGCTTAATGACAAAGGTTATGATGGCACAACTTCAGATCTGTGGTCATGTGGGGTTATTCTATTTGTTCTGCTTGCTGGGTATTTACCCTTTGAGGATGATAATGTCATAAATTTGTATAAGAAAGTGAGCGCTCACATTATTTGTTAGGAAGATTTAAATACATGCCATTCAATTCTTATGTATTTACATATCTAACAGCTAAACTTCCAATTTTACATATATGCCACCTTACCTATGCATAAAAGAATTTATTTCACTTTTAAAAGTTAAAAAAGTGTTATTTTTGATGCGATATGGAAGATTTGGGTGGTATAAATTTAAAAAAAAAAATCAAGTTTTGGTGTTAGATATGTAAGCATAAGAATTGGGTGGCATGCATCTAAACAAATTGTTTTGAGAGTAAATCATTTACTGATAAAGATGATTATAACTTCAATGCAGATATCCGATGCTGAATTTTCATGCCCAGCTTGGCTTTCTTCGGATGCCAAGAGATTGATAAAACGAATACTGGATCCAAATCCCATTACAGTGAGTATCTTTCTTCCATTCTTAGAGCATGTATTTTGCATGGAATTAAATTTTGGCGGAATATGCAATCACAAAATTAAAATATTTTGGCATAAAGTTCATTCCTTTGATGTTGGGATGCTTTATTTTACTCTGTTTTCTATTAAAGTCAACTTTTTTGCAACGCCGCCAGCGAATAACTATTCCCGAACTATTGGAGGATGCATGGTTCAAGAAAGGCTACAAACCGCCAATTTTCAACGAGAATTGCGACACGAATTTGGATGATATCGATGCAGTTTTCAAGGACTCAGAAGTGAGTCATAGTCAAGTTTATGATCATTTATAATTATTTTTTTGTTGCGATCGAATAATACTGCTGACTTAATGTTTTTGCTGTGTAAGGAACATCATGTTACAGAGAAAAAAGAAGAACAGCCTGCAGCTCTGAATGCTTTTGACCTGATCTCAATGTCAAAGGGGCTGAAACTTGGAAGTTTATTTGATAGAGAACAGGTTTATTTACTGACTTTTTTTTTGGAAATTTACATACATATCACACAATTCTTGTGTATTTACATAGCTAACCCCCATGACCCAGAGTTTAATATTTATACTTAGAACACCTTGGTGTCATAAGCCTTTGCATGGAAAGTTGTATTTCACTTTGCAAAAGTTAGTAATGATGTTATTTTTGATCTGATATTAGGGATTTGAGTGGTATGCTTGTAAATATGAAAGTTTAGGTGTTAGATGTGTAAATGCATAAAAATTGTAAGGTATGTGTGTAAAAGATAACTTTGAGCTTGTCTAAAACTACAGGGGTAGAAACCATACTTTTCTCTTTCATTTTGCACTTTAATTCACTCTAAGAGGGAGTATTTATGGAATACAAAGACAATTAATGACTCATTAACACCTAACTAATAAGCACTAATTGGTAATTATATATTAACTGCTAAGATTCATAATGACTGCTAAACTCCTAATTTATTATATATTGCTTCTATGTTCATTTCAAAGTTAGATTTAATTTAAGGGGCATTTAAAGACATACCATCCAATTCTGATGTTTTTACATATCTAACCCCTAAATTTTGCTTTTTGCGTGTATACCACCCAAATTTTCATATTTTCATAAAATATATCATTATTTTTAACATTAAAGGGGGAAATACACCTTTTATTGCATAGGTAAGGTGTCACATATGTAAAAATTGAAGTTTAGTTGTTAGATATGTAACTACATAAGCATTGATCAGTGGTATGTATGTAAATCTTTCTTAATTTTAATACATAAAAGAGAAGTTCGTCCGGCCGAACAAGGCAGCCCCGGTGCTCCTATACATATATATATATATATTAATTGAATTCTTGTTCTTATCTTTTTTTAAGGAATTCAAAAGAGAGACAAGATTTTCATCAAAATCGTCAGCCAATGAAATTATGAGTAAGATTGAAGAAGCTGCAAAGCCTCTTGGATTTGAAGTGCAGAAGAAAAATTATAAGGTAAAAAATCACTCTAAAAGAACATGATAAGTAAACTAAAAAATTTTTGGCCTTATGTGCATTCATTGTGGTATTATATATATTTACTTGATTCAGATGAGGCTGGAGAATATGAAAGCTGGAAGGAAAGGAAACCTGAACATTGCTACTGAAGTATGAGATATTTGAATTATATGAAGTTTGGCAATGTTGTTATATGTTCTATTGCTTAAATATAGTATTGTTGATTTAGGTGTTTCAAGTGGCGCCTTCTCTTCATATGGTTGAGGTTCGGAAAGCGAAAGGGGACACTCTCGAGTTCCATAAGGTATCATTCATTACTCATCGAATATCACATTGAAATTTTCTTATCATCGGTGTGAAAATAATAACGAAGAGAAGAGGCGAACTATTGACAAAAATTAAAAAAACATCAAGATTTTCATGGAAAATTGACACGCATCAAGTGTTGTGAAGCACGGGCAGTTCACGTAAGTATATGTGGCGTATCAATAGTATACGTAACGGAGTTCGTGTGTTGATCTCTTAGGGAACGAGTTGAACTCTAATAGGAAAAGCTCTATATTACAGTTGTCATTCCAAGCCTAAAATGTTGAGATTCAATTTAATGAAAGTTACTATCCTAATTTTAAAAGTAAACTGAACCTAAGTTTTAAACCAACAAAAAGAGAGACATGTTGATTTAAGTAGTGTCCCAAAAATCTCCTTTGAAGTGGTTATGTAGGGATTGAAGCCTAGCAAATGATTTGAAAGTGGTGGTCTAAAAAAGATTAACGATCCATTTGCTTAGTCCCTAAATTAAATGAAAAGTCCTAGACAACCTAGCTCCCTAATCAGCTTGCACGAATTCAAAGAAGATATTCATATTCTAATGCCTTCATGTGGATAACTTAATCGTTCCTTATAGATTCCTTCTGAAATTCTATAATCACGATTAATATTAACAAATTAACTGGCCAAGTTAAAAGTCAATGAGATCCTAAGCTATTCCAACACCATTTAAGAGTTTTCACCAAGTATCACATCAAAATGCAAAGCAATTATCCCTACACTTCCACAACAAAGGAGACAAAAAATCAACTCACTAAGCATGCAAAATTTCATCAACACAAACATTGTATTGAGAATAAAAATCATACACAAGGGTCTTCCAATTGTTTTTGAAAGAAAACAAACAAAAATTCAATATACTTATCTCCTTAAGATTCCGAATATACAAATGGAATTACAAGCTTTCTTACAATCTCACAATCTCTTTGGAAATTTGCTTTAAAACCCCTTACTGATCTTCTTCTATCTTCTCCCTCTAATTTCCTTCTTTTTTAATGGCAGAAAAGTAGTGAATAAACCCATCTAATTTGGTGCTCTTGCTTTTTTTATTTCTCCCAGTGAACCGAAGCTTGAGCTGTTCAAAACCGTCCTCTATCGCATTCTGGTGCCTAGGCGCCACTCATTTAACCATAAGTTTTTAACTCCTTGTGCCTAGGCGTGTTGCTTAGGCAGCGCAAACTTTCCATACTCTCGGGAATTTGCACCAATTTGGGTTGGGACTACCGCCTAGGCGCCACTAGCCCGTCATTTAGGCGACACACATCAACTTTCTCTAATGTTTTGAGTCTCATTCAATCCCCTTTTTACTGCAACCTCCAAAATAATATAAAAAATCTTCCTCAAAACGTACATAATCATACAAAATGCAAACAATTAAAGACATTTTATGCAAAATCAAAAAACACATAAAAAAATCATAGACTCGGAAAAATTTCTAGTAGAGGAGAATTCATTGTTATATCATAAAAGAAAGGAGGTTATAAGCAGAGTGTGGCGTAGCACATAAGCTTAAACTTTTATATTTACATTTATAACATATATCATTTTGGTGTGATAAACCCACGCATGAAAATGCCTATTTCACCTTTAAATAGTAGGTGGCAGTGATATTTTTTTATGTGATATTAAAGATTCGAGTGCTATGTATGTAAATAATAAAAATTTGGGTGTTAGATATGTAAATACGTACGAATTGTGTGATACAAATGTTAATGTTACTCTTTGATGCATTTTTATTTTCTTTTTGTGTGTTTGCAGTTCTACAAAAACCTCTCAACCTCTCTCAAAGATGTTGTTTGGAAGTCTGAGGAAGACTAGAATGTGCATGCTGTGTTGGTGAAGGAGCAAATATGTTCAGCTCCTCCCTTTATTTATTTTTATTTATTTTTGCCCTTTTTCCAGGATAACATATATTTTCCTGTTTTCTTTGTGTTTGCTCTATATATATATATATTGGTATTCAGTGAGGTCCTCTGCAGTGTAAATGTGAGGAGAATACATTGTTCTAGTAGTATGATTTTCTTAATTTCTATCTGCTGAAGTTGAAGGACTGAGATTATACAAGTTAAAATGAGGAGGGGGGGGGTTGCATTTTTTGATATGATATGGGTGGTATAGGTGTAAAAAAACCAAACTTTTATTTAGGAATTGGGTGGTATATATGTAAATGCCCCTAATTTTTTTAACCAGGAAATGTGCAATTAATTTATAGTGATGATTGACTAAGGTTAGTTTAATAATTTTATATAAAAATTGTAAATTTCAGTTTTTTTTTTCTTTTTTTTTTATCAAATTCCCAATGATTTATCGGTGGCAAGCATAAAAATACGATTCTATAGTTCGAAAAGATGACATGGGTGATTATTTTGTAAATAATAACATTCTAGGTGTTATGTTTGCAATTATCCCAATATATTTATTTCCCCATATAACTCATCCTAAAACATACATATAGGTATATGGTGCTCTTATTAGATGTTATAGTGCTCTCATGAAGAAGGGCATTGATGAAGATCCTTCTTAGATCATAAAATATGTGACACATACATGAAACCTTATAGGATGAGGAAATGAAAAGGAAGATAAAGATGGGGAAAAGTGATGGAGACAACACAATTTCAGCACTTTTCATAAAGGCATGAAAGCTTTAGAGAAGATAAAGAAAATGCTAACCTTTTTATTGAAAAGTTTAGCACATTTCACTTTTCATTTTGCTTTGAAGCATGGTGCTATGGAGCTTTATCTTTTATTATTCATGATTGAAGAGCAAAAGGAGTAGACAGGACTTTAGACTATCTTCTACTTTGTCGTATAATGAGATTTTCCATATAGCTATATTAGGGGGAGAGAAAAAATGGATGTGATATGTTTTATGATGATTAAATTTTCTATAATATGAATGTGATACATCACTTATGACTAATCGGTTCATTTTGTAATATATTTTTCATAAAAAAATTTTCATCAAACTTCACCTTTCATTCTCGCTAGTTTAATTTATAGGCCTTTGTATGAATCTATCTCTATCTCTAGATATAGAGCGCGAAAGGAAAGCAAAGAGTAGAGAGAGCTCAGTAATGAACAGTGAACTCGTGTGACCATTATTCATGAAATGAGCTCCTATTTATGGGAATGGGGGTTGAACAGTTATATTCTATATCTCTAGAAAAATAGATACAACGATGGTATTTTGATTAATACATAATTATAGGGCTAGAAGCATGAAATGTAGTCCTGCCCTATAGAGTCGAGAGCCTAGAATAGTACCTGGACGGATTTTGGGCCGGACGGCCATGTGTATGGAGCCTGTGAGAATGACCGACTAGGTCATTTCCCAGGTGGCTATGGCCAAAGGGTGAACCGGGACCCGACTGACTGCTTTAGATCAAAGCAATTTTCCTCATTCGTCCGACTTGGTTGAGGAACGTCAATAGATTCGTCTGTGCATGTCTTATGTCAGTAAACTTTAGGAGTGTGGTCGAGTCCTGTTCATCCCTGGACAATTTTTCTCCCGACCCGCAGGGGCCGGACGGATAGACATGGGCCCTTAACCTGCCCCTGATGGGTCCCAGACCACCGCATCTTTTTCTCAGTTAATAATTATATCCTTTCTCAAATGAACCTTAAATATCTCATCCAAAAAAAAAAAAATACAAAGTTTGGGTGTTAGACATGTAAATACTAATTAAGAATTGACAGGCATGTATGTAAATCTTCCTAAATTACTTTTTACTCCCTCACATCATCAAAATTTCAGATCTACCCCGGAAAGTAATAGCAAGTACAGCAATAATTGAATGATTAGCCCTTAAACATTTTATAATTAATGAACATAAAACCAACCATTAAGTATAATCATTGCATGCAATAATTAATCAAGATTCTCATCCTCTTATTTTAAATTAAATTTCACCATCCATCCTACTCAGCAACCACCACCAAAAATCCCTCAATAATTTCCCCAAAAAAAAAAAAAACTTTTATTAAATATATTTTGAGAGGATATATTAAAAATTAAAATTATTATTTGTCCTATAAATTGCTTTCACATCTTCATCCCGAAGCATGAGAAATGGAGGAGAAAGAATGTAGAAGGAGATGCAGAGCAGCCATGCATGCATGGGTTTTTGAAATATTCCATCTCTTGCACACTGGAAGATGAGGACAAGCCGCCATTAATGGCGGCCTTATGATCTGTTGATCCTTGAGTTCAGGCTTTCGGTTTGCAAGGCATGGAATGAATCAACTATTCATGATAAGCTCCCCATGTCATAAGCTAAGAAAGGCTTTTTTTTTTTTTTTTTCATACATACATATATATGCATATATATATCATTCCTAAACTTGATAAAGCATAATTATTTTTAATATAAATGCATGAATACCTATCTTTCATGTAGGTATAATACCTAAGTTTCTACTTATAACACCTTAGTTTATAACAAGTTCATCTCTATATATGTATAATGCTTGACCTAATTGTATCCTCATTTGTCCATGTACATATGTGAATTATCATTTTATTAGATTTTTGTGTTGATTTTTTTATAAGATTATCATAAATATGTTACCCTAAAAAGGATGTTTATCGCTAAGATTATTAGGACCATTATATCATTTTATTTTTTTATTTGACATTTTTGTTTTCAAAGGGAATGATCAGAGGCTATTATACGGTCTCCAACCACTCCTAATGTGTCTAACAATTCAAGTACCACATTCTTAAGATCAACTGTGCTAGAGGGAATTCGAGCCCCCGACCTGAGGGGTCTTACACCAAGAATGCTAACCGATATGCCGAGGTACGCAATACCTATGACAAAGTCCAATAGCATCTTCAATTTCTTTTTTACTATCCTAAATATGAGTTGTGTCAACCTGAAAGATAATTGTCGAAAAAGTCACAGGATATGAATCAAGTCTTGGTTGACACTGGTCAGATCCAAAGTTTGATCTTATCTTAAAATTTTTGGGATTGTATCATAGATTTGTAATCATATGGAGTATGATTTGGCTCCATTTAAAAATTATCAATTATTGTGCTTGTAAGTTTCAAATTTAGACATTAAATACTAAAAAGAATTTACAAACAAATGCATAAAAAAATTGAGGGCATTGATGTGAAATTTAAAGTCATACAATTATGATACAAAAATTACATTTTTATTTATAAAAAATACATAACTAATATACATGTCAAAATTTTAAATGAGTTTCCACAAAAAATTCATTAAATTATCCCTTTTTATTACGATGTAATCCCTTTTTTGCGGACATTAATGAAAAAAAATATTGCGGAAAGGTTAGCGAGGCAATAAAATGGAGTCATTATTAATCTTCTTGATTATGATGATTTTAGGAAAATCCTAACAACGACGACGACGACGACGACGACGACAACAACAACAATAAAGCCTTAATCCCACTACGTGGGGTCGGCTACATGAATCCTTTTTTCTCCATTGCGTCCTATTTAGTGTCATATTTTCATTTAGTTCTAGTAAATTAAGATCATTTTTAATACAATAAGCCCAAGTCTTCCTAGGTCTACCTCTGCCTTTTTTAGCACAAGTCGAATCTAAAACATCTACTCTTCTAATTGGATCATCAAATGGTCGACGTTTAATGTGACCAAACCATCTAAGACGACTTTCTCTAATTTTGTCCATCACAGGAGCTACACCAACACTATCACGAATATATTCATTTTGCATTTTGTCTCTAAGTGTAAAGTTACTCATCTACCTAATCATTCTCATCTCGGCAACACTTAACTTATTAATATGCTTCCTTTTTAAAGGCCAAGATTCAGCGCCACAGAGCATTGCAAGTCTCGCCACCGTCTTATAAAATTTTCCTTTCAGTCCAAGCGGTACTTTTCTATCCCAAAAAAGGCCCGAAGCATTCCTCAACTTCAACCAACCAACTTGAATTCTACTATTAATATCCCCATCTATATCACCATTGCTTCGAACAACATACCCGAGATATCTAAATCGTTCACACCTTCTAATAATCTGATCACCCAAAGTTGCACTTCCTAGAGCTATTACTACTACTACTAAAATTACATTCCATGTATTCAGTTTTAGTTCTACTTAAACGAAGGCCTTTAGACTCTAATGTAGACCTCCATGATTCAAGTTTTTCCTGAGCTTTTTCTCTCGTTTTATCCACGAGAAGGATATCATCAGCAAAAAATCAAAGTACATCCTCCTGTAGATGTCCAGTAAGACCTAAGTGGAAATAATTTAATATATGTGCTTCAGTATTCTTTGTGTCTATTACAAACTCAACTCGCTCTTCTCCCATTCCTCAACGAAACTAAATCTCTTAAATTTGGCTTAGCAATAAAATTAGACATCTATGTCGCAAGGTTGCTTTCCCTTTTAATTTGGCTTAACATGTAAGAAATTGTAAAATTAGCAATAAAATGAGGCATTTACATATACCAAAAAACAAAAGTTTTTAGCAGCATTTATATAAATACACTTTTAATTAAGAAAATGTATAAAAATATTTAAAATTCTTGGTAAATGCCTTTGCACTTACTAGCACTCGCAACGATTTAAAATTCGCTGCAATGAAAATAGTAGAAGTTTTTACTGCTGTGATTGCCAGTATGACATGCGATGCAAAATTTTTTATTTAGTTGTACCACTCAATTCCTATATATGTTTACATTTGTAGCATCTAAATTTTTCTTTTTTTACATATTTATACCACCCAAATCTGTCATACCAGATAAAAAATGCATCATTTTAACTTTTAAAACGAGAAATATGTCTTCTCATGCATAGTTAAATTGGCACATATGTTTGCAAAACTTGAGGTTAAGGTTAAATATCTAAATACATAAGAATTGTGTGGCATGCATGTAAATTTTCCAAAAGCATACATATAATTTGATGAATTTGTTAATGTTGGGGCTATATGCATAATAGAGTAATTATGAATTGTTGCTGCCGATCGTGTGTGGGTTTGGGATGACTTTCTTGACACGTTGACGCGAATGAAGGAATAGTTATTGTGCCACCTCAAGTTGGCTAAAGGGAGAGTCATTTAAGGTTTATAAAATGATAGCTATAATGTTATCTCATGCATTTTTTATTTCATGTATCAAAATTATTAATAAATTTTTATGTGTTGTTTTTTTTTTTCTATATTTATGTTATTGAAAGAAAATTTTCATCAGCAAATTATTTTGGGTAGCGTTTTATTGAACTTTGATTTGTTTGTGAATCACATCGAATAAATAGAGCGAAATAAGAGATAGAGATCGAGAGAGATAGAATGCAGGAGAATGAATAGTGACAAATCTTATCTTATTCATAAAATGATTTCTTTATTTATAGAGGAGATTCCTTTATTTATAAAGGAGAATGCACATAATGATATTATATTTTCTTCCTCTACTTTCAAAGGATATGTATTGTGGTATTTCTAGTATTTTATATGGGTAAGCTTGTCGTCGGCTGCATACTTTTTGAGTTGGCCAGCAGAGCTAATTAGTCGGCTTCGATTTGGCAAGATCAGTTTGGTCGATATGAATCGGTTGAGCCCCAAATCGATTGGGGATGGACATTATTCCTGTAAAGAGAATACATTTTATTAATTAGTGCACATAACATGACTTACATAACATGACTTATAAAAAGAAGAACAAATAATGACATTAAATGTATATTTTTATATGTTTAAGCTTTGGTCTTAAAATATATGTTAAGAATCCTCAATGATTTGATGAAATTTGAATTTTCAACTTGATATTGACATCAAATAGTTACATTAAAATGATACCAATGACTTATAAGAATGATATACAATTTGTTGGAAGATATTAATATTGAATCTTAATATTAATAATGGCAAACATCAGTGTCAGATTTAATGCCATTTAAATGAGCTGCAGTTGAGACATGTCTTTCATTTTGGTTGCATACGCCAAGAAGGAAGAGACCATCTAATGAAAGTTATTGTAGAGTTTGAAGGCGTCAGTAGATCCTAAAATTTCTATAGCTTGATATTCTCTTATAGTTTCAGCAGATCTGTATATAGCTCATGAAATAAGATTTCATATTTCAATAGTTCATGACTTTTTTTTTTTTAATAAGATAAAAAATATGTATCTTATAAAGCTGATTCAGTCTAAGAATTTTAAATATAAATGTAAATTATAAGGTTTAAATCTTTTATACTTTGAGTAACTTTTAGGCTTTTAGAGATTTAAACCCTAAACCCTAAACCCTAGACACTAGACACTAGAAGTTTTTTACGTGTAAAAGCTGCAAAGGGAAAAAATAAGGGGTCTGACCGAGCTTAAGGGTCTCACTATAAAATGATATTGATTACAGTTACAACCACGTATCCTACAGGCGGGAAAGAGTTAGAATTTTGAGTTACAATGTCGACAAGCAGATGATTTGTTGCAATAACTGATCGTCGAACAATGATGATTAGTGGAAGTCGGTGAGTGGTGGCCGACAGTGATCGGTGGCGACAGAAGTGGTGTTGGGCTCCAGCTCCTTAAAGCTTCAAGCTCTTATTAAGCCTCGTGAGAGCGATTGGGGCTCAATTTATAAAGCTCTGAGTACAATTAATGCAAGAATATGAATTATTTTAATCATACGAATCAAAGACCTTCCCTCGATCTTATGGTATCTGATGGACATTTGAGTGTCTTAAAAGTGTCAGAATTGAGTTATATTTGGTTCATTGGATTTATCTCGCTAAGATTCTCGATTCGACTATGAACTGGCCAGATTCGACATCTGTTTGACCTTTCAAATGTATTCGAAAAACTCCCAAACATGGTTTAGCATCTTAATCAGGGTTAGATTTGGTTTGGATTAGACTAATTTTGGTGTCATAGGATCTGTCTTATCGAGCCAGTCAGTTTGACTATAAGTTAGCTGAAATCAAATCTTTGAAGGACCTTTTATCGATGGTTGATTATTTCATGCTTAAAAGTTAAAAGATTGTCTTGAGATCCAAGCTATGTTTCAAGATTCGTGCCAGATGATGAAAATTTATTTATGGCATATCAATTATTGCAAGGCTTATTATGATAGTATCTATGATAATATCATTAAATAAAATATTTAGTAGCAACAAGTCATATTATAGCATTTTATCATAGAAGAAAAAAGCGATGAATTGAATATTTTCTTTCGATTATGTCGCATGATTATGTATCCTAAGATGAAGATGGGATTTCTGACTAGTAAAAATTAAAATTTTAGGATTAATATTTTAATTTATTCATATCCAAAGTCTCATTTTCTTGGTTTAAATTAAAAATTACAATTAAAGAAATTATAAAATTAAATTGAGTTGTTAATTGAATTGATTTTATTAGACATCAATATTAAACAGTTTATTTAAACTTCTGATAAAGAAGTCTGAATTATTAAAAAAAACAACGATCAGAATATTTTGTTGGTTAATCAAACAGTTAGATTGATTTGAGTTGATCCAAACTTTGACATTTTAAGCAGTCCAATCAAAAGATTGTTTCTACCATTCAATTATTTTGGACTTCTTCGATTCAGCCAAATGAATTAAACCCAATCATAGCCATCCAAATCATCATGCTTGGCTATGATTCGCACCACAGTACGATGGGATAATAAGCCGATCTCACAAAACTCCCAAATGAATTAAACCCAATCATAGTCATCCAAATCATCATGCTTGGCTATGATTCGCACCATAGTACGATGGGATAATGTCCCGATCTCACAAAACCCTAACTTTGTTTGTAAAATGATGGTTAAATAGTCATGACATGTCTCATTCATGATTGGTCAGAAGACTTCATGTGGGCTTCTGTTTGTTCTCTTATTTGTCTTTGTTTTTATCTTCTTCTAGAAATGGAAATTCTACGTACAAACGGAAGTGGAGGAACTGTTGTTTTTGTTACTAATCAGTTTTTTTTTTTCGAGAAAGGTGGGCCCAAAAGATAATATATGCGATTCAAACTCGTAACCATCTCACGGTGGGAAACTACACCCTCAACCAGTATGTTGCTTCAGTTGGTGAAGACATCTGCGGTGGAATGAATCCCTGCTTACGCAAATGATTTTGATGGTGCGTATTTCTCCCATTACTGTGGGATAAATCACAACCATGCGTGATGATTGGGATGACTATGATTGGGAATTCAATTGGCTCGATCGAAGCCATCCAAAATAATTGAATGGTGTAAATGATCCTCCAATTGGATCGCTCTAAAAGTTAAGGTTTAGATCGATGAAGATTAACCAACAAAATATTTTGGTCATTATTCATGTAATTATTCAAAATTCTTTATTAAAAGCTTAGAACTTTTAGTTTGGTCAGCTCTAACGTAGAGAAGCTACTTTACTTTACATCGTTGGGATGATTTTTGAGAGGTCGATCCAAGAACTCATTTTCAAATCAACATATTTAAAATTTGTGGGCAAATTTATTTATAAAATTTGCAGTCGTTTAATAATTTATTTTTTTTAAAGATCAATTATTTTTTTATTATATTGCATCAAAAGATGATAAATTATAATAAATGTCTGAATAAATAAGTTTTTTAATTAAATTAATCAAGTTGGGATGAGAGACTTATTTAGATTTCATGCATCATTGAAAAATTCAATATTATAAAATTTGATGAAATAACCATTTTGAAATTGAAATCATGATCTTAATAAACAAAATAAATTTTAATGGGTTGGTCCAATGGCATTGTATATAAAAAATATGTCAATGCTGATCATAATGCAGGGATACAACGATTTAGAAGGGAAGAGTACGATGAAGGTTGACCCACTGACAAGGGGTTGTGAGACCCACTTGACAGATCGAGCGAAGTCATATGAAACAAGCCGACAAGTTCAAAAACCAAATGGACCACAAGATAGATCAATGACGGCCGGAAATATAAGCTCGGGCCACTTGGTCAGAAAAAGAAACAAGAAAGCATATGAGCCAAACCCACTACAGGAAAGTCGATCTGACATGATAGTTTACACTTCTATGGAGCTGATCCAAGGGAAGATCTGGTTCCTCGCTATTTCGAATCGTCCCATAGTTGCTCAGAGGCTCCTCACGAGTTATCAAGGATCGATGGGCATAGATAGATCAGTTGATCGACCCACACCAACTAAGCTTAGCAAATTGAGCTGATTTTACCAACCCGAAGCCAAATAAGCTAATTAGTTGTGGAGCCAAAAAACAACCGGACGATAAACCCATATATATAAAATATCAGAAATATCTTAGTACATACCCCTTTAAAGCATGCATGAGCAATATTAATGTAATACTATCATTGTACTATCTCATCTATAAATAAGAAAATCGTTTTATGAATAAGACACGATGAATTACTATTTATTATTGTTCGCTCCTCTCTTTCTCTCTCATATACTCTATTCATTGGGTGTGATTCACAAACATATTAGGATTCAATGGGCAATAAAAATAATTTGATTCAATCGAGTCTAAATAAACCCAAATCATGCATATAAAAATTTAATGATCTAATTAGAAGACCAAATGATATCTATAATCTCACATATTTGTAAAAATTTAAAAAAAAAAAAAAACATTTCAATGTAAAAAATCTAAACAATTTCGAATCACTCAATTATCAAGACTTAGCACATCCCCTCTCTCCTATTCTCAAGGGTTTAATTCTCTAACAAGGTCATAGCATAAATTTGATTTCACTCTTAGAGTGCTTCTAGCAACATGTCGAATAAGTTCACTCTCCCAAAGACCATAGATTCACTTTATATATACCATATATATATATATATACAATATATATGTATATATGTATGTATGTATATATATATATATATAATGTATGTATGTATATGTATGTGTATGTATGTATGTATGTATGTATGTATATATAGATGAGTCACATTAGCCTAGTGGCCTAATGATTGATAGCCAGTCTTTCAACCAAGTGGTCCTTGGTGTCTTACATAAGTGTGTGTGCAAGCATTTGGGTGTGTAGACAATATATATATATTTTTCCAATATATATATATATATATATATTTATATATGAAAGCTTTACATATAAACCACAAAATACCTAGCTATTCACATTTCCATCATTCTACTTCTGCATGAAAAGGATGCTTTGTGAAAGATACGAGTAAATACATAGAAATTGCATGGCGTGCATGTAACATAAAATGTTGTTTTACGTGTTAGATGTATAAATACATGGTAATTTCTTGGCGTGCATGAAACAAAAAAATATTGTGGAACGAGCAAATATCCAATAAAATGGAATTATAATTAATATCCTTGAATATGATATATTTAGGAAAATCCCACCCGACCATATATTAATATATATATGCTTCATAAATTTTGTATCATGAATACTATATAATCACCTCGCTCTCCTCACATTCTCCAACAGAAACAAACTAAATAACCTCCTACAACCAAACATCTATGTCCCAAGGTTGTGTTCCCTGCAATGAAGATGGCTATATGTATATAACATTATGAATTATATATATGTATATGTAAAGAATTTGATTAATTAATTTGTTAATGGATGCAGGGTGGAAGGTGAGCTGGCCGGAGCTGGTGGGGCGTAGAGGAAGAGAAGCAAAAGCCGTGATAGAGAGAGAGAATGGTGATGTTAAAGCGGTATGTGTGAGGGCTGCTGATAGAGTACTTAAGATTTGTCGCAGCGATCGGGTGTTCATTATGGTTGATTGTCCGCCCAACGTTGACCCGAATGAAGGGATCGTTAAGAGTGTCCCTAAGATATGCCGCACATCAGAAAACCAGTTATAATTCAATAATATATAGTGAAGATACCAAAGTAGACTAAGGGCATAAAATTGTGGCTTTAAATGTTAGCTTTTGTATTTTTTTAGGCTCATTAGGATAAAAACCTTTTTTCCTTTTAATTATAGGAGACTTGTCTTAATAAAAATTTAGTCTTATAGGTAGAATTTAGCTTATAAAGAGAGTTTTACCCTATCATTTATATCCAGTACACAGAGGATTTAGTTTGTAATCACTACTTTTATGGAGCCCATTGACAAAAACATGCAGACAGAGGACAAGCTACGTCCTTATTAGCATGAAATCATTTTGAGCGTGAATTTAATAATGTAATTTACATAATATTAACACTTTATGTACTTGTGTTAATCTACGATCGACAAATGATTATGTTTGGTGAGTGAGCTTTTTCTCATTAGCTTTCGGAGATTTTATTTTTATTTAAATGTTTTAAAGCTCTTACAATTTCAAATTCTTTTAATATTAAGATATCCTCCAATTACAATGTACAATGACTACACTCATCATTAAGGCTAAGATTATTATTTAATTGTTTAAAAATATCAGTCACATCAACTCCAGTCCTTGCAACGAAGATACTTGAGGCTCAAACCTATCAACTCTAGTTTTTATAGGGAGGACGATCAAACTGGAAGCTCAATCTTATCAAATTTGATTCCTTTAAGGAGAATACAAATATAGGACATACAATCTTACCCTATAGATAAGACGACCAGCTTAAAAATGTGCATAATTCTAATATTTTTTAATTTGACATTTATAAAATATTTTTAAATTTTTTTTTTTTGAAAAACACATGCATTTTTCTTTTTTACTAGGAAAATGTGTTGGCTTAATTAAAAGACAAACCCTCTACTTCTTTGCCGAACTTAGGACTAAGAATAAGCATATTGAATGAAATTTGCATGTCCCGAAGTTAAAAGTCAAATTGTACATAAAACCAGAACACTCTAACGACCAACAAATGAAATAAAACAATAATAAGAATAACAATAAGCACACAATACACTGCAGCACGCAGCACTCGCTTGCCACCCACGGCTCACTGCCGGCAGCCCACAACCAGCACTTGCCGCCACGATGTCTTAGCCCGCCGTGCCGCTGCTGTCCGCCATTGTTAGTTGTCGCCAACCATTGCGCCATCCATTAAACATTTATCTTTCATCCAGGGCCGCCGCCACCGCTAATCATGTTTTACTTTACTTTCGTTTTTCTTTTAACCAAACACAAAAATATAAACTCCTGCATTTATTTTACACCAAAACAAATAACTCCAAAGTATTTCAAATATACTATATTTCTTTTCTCAGTAAACCAAACACCCCTTAAATCTTAAAAAATTGCAGTTCAAAACTAATTTATTTCAAATTCTTTACATTTGGAGGCTTTGCTTCTCCTTGAAGAACCAGAGCCACCCCTAATTCCACTCTAATTCCACTACCACTATATTTACAGTAAAAGCAATCCAACTATTAATCCGCACTCAAAGATGAACTGAAAAATTCAATTTTTTTAAGAGAGAAAAATAAGCAGAGCTCTACTTGCGAATAACTAAAATGAAATCACAAAATTTCTTAAATAGAAACTCACCAATTTTAAAGAGGAAGAAGCTATGATGTCAAAAGATCCCCCCAGACCTTATAATCAGTAGTTGAGCTGTTATTATCTATGATGGTGTCCTGACAACCCAGAAAAAAGGTAGTTCTAACAGTATCAACATTGATAAGGGCATGTGCAGAACCACTTGGGCTCGCGGCAACGGCGACTTCATCGGCTCCGATTCTCACTTCTGCGTAGCCTTTGCCTTCAATGAGTGGATTCTCCAGCTGCATAAGAAATCCTAATAGCACATATAAGCAGTAAAGTTTGATAGAAAAAATATCAAAATCTTCAGCTTGGATTGAAGATGGGGAAATTTACATGCATACTACATAATTCTTATGTGTTTTACATATTTAAGACCCAAAGTTTGATATTTACACTAATAACACCTTGGGGTCATAAATCTAAACATGAAAAGGTGTATTTCTCTTTAAAAAAAAGATAGTGGTGGTGGAATTTTTTATGTGATGTTAAGGATTTGAGCAGTATGCATGAAAATATCAATGTTTAGGTGTTACATGTGTAAATACATACGAATTGTGAGGTATGCAAGTAAATTCCCCTTGAAGATAATCATACCCTAAACTTTGTTTCAGCTCCCCAGATGAGAAATGTCTCATTGCAAGTGTGATGCCTGTGATTTCCCCTAAAGCAGCCCGGACGAATCTCACCTGCATGGATTGATTTGCAGATCTGAGCTCCACCTGTTTAAAGGAGTATGATTAGTATGATTTAAGCATCATTAAAACTTCATGTAAGGTATAGTCTGTTCCATTCTTTGTTTTTTCCTTGATCATTCGTATATCTGAACATTTAGTTTTTTACGTGAAAGAATGAAAGAATTAAAGTGATTAGCTGGACGAAGCTGATATGCTGCCCTTTATAAAAGAAAGAAGGTGAAAAAAGCTTCGAAAACCTGAGGAAATAATATTAGTTATTCAATATATAGCTTAATACCATTTAACAATATCAAAAGGAAAAAAAGAGCAAAACAACGGATGAATGTTTTTAGGGAATTGTCTGAGGCTACAAAGAATTAATTTGAGGTGCCAGTTGCAGTGAATGAAAATAATAAAAAAATTAGTTCACTAGCCACTTAACATACTTCACGCCATCCAAACAAGAAGACAAAATAGGAAAAAGATTTCAACTTAGTTCACTCACTGTTTTTTTAAAATTAGATGAGACTGAAAGGAACTATTTTGGAATAAGATAAACAGTCAGGGGTCCTCATTCTAAGTTCCAATGAATGGTAGGAAGAAGCTCTATAGGATAAGGGAGACGGGGGAAAGGCATCACAATCGTGAGTGAATAAAATATCTTTGAAATCTACCATTAACAACGGACACAATCTCATTATCCAAAAAAGCCTTTGGATATTATCTGGCAGAGGGCTAAATTGAGATTATAATGTGAAAATGGAGAAGCATTCAAGAAACTGATTGGAAGCTCATTTGGACTAAAACCATGATTTTTAAAATCTTATAATACGTTGCATGATTATAGATGACAATGAATTTTATGCATTTAATTGCTTAGAAGTTCATTAAGGAAACAATGAACCATTACTTCATCATCTGTCATGAACTCCGAGTACCCACAATTAAAATATGGAAAAAAAACTAAGAATGATATAGCTAGCAATAATTTTCTCAGAACAATCTCATGCAAATAATTCAAATTATGCAAATGCTATAACACAAATAATCAAAAGCAAAAAATATATTTAAGTGTCATAAGCTATACAAATAATAACCTTTAGCTAGTTCCTAAAATGATAAGACAAAAAAAAAATAAAAGTAGATAAATCAAGAAGCTATGGTATGCTTATTGTGGAAATCATAATTCCAAACCTAGAATTATTCATTAGCAGCAATAAGAAAATAGAAAGGGCAACATTCTCCCCACCAACCAAGGATTCACTACAGACAACCAACATAGCAGTGGACTGGAAATTTGGAATTTTGGGATGCTTCTTTTAGTTGGAAATCCAAAAAATAGCCCATAAGTCACTCTTTCAGTTGGAAGATATCTCCAACAAGGAAACAAAATAACTCCCTGCTACACTGCTAGCCATCAAATCTCGACAAGATAGAAAATCAATGATTCCGTGATGCACAGCAATTAACTCTATATTGTTACTTCACAGACTCCTAATAGTATTTAGTATGGCAAAAAATCCAGCTCTGGTAAATTTGCCTTCTCTTTAAATTACTTTTTTGATTTGCATTCTCAGCTTTCCTTATGGTGAAGAGTATAAATTAGAGATTCATTATATAATTAATTTTAATTACTTGAATAAATATAATGATGGTGGAGGTGACATCAACAATTATTAGTGCACTCTCACTTCTCATTCATGTATTATTATAGTTAGTTAGGGAAGATTGGGTAATTATATGCAATTTAAGTGGATGTAATATTGATAATTCTTAATCCATGTAATTGAAAAACAAACAAACCATAGGTGGGACAGATTCAAATATCTTTAATCTTTTATATAAAATAATAAGAATATAAATAAGGATATAACCTCTAGAAATAAAAATTGAAAGTTAAAACAGAAAATGATTTGAAGAGTATCATTCATAGCGAAAACAACAGTGACTTGAGATTAAATTTATCTACAGGCAGGCTCGCTATTTTGAATAGATCCGAGTATTGGGCGGTAAATTTATAGCCAAGTTGAATATGAAGAAAATGAGAATACTACAATGGACGTATGGAAGAAATAGGAAAGAAAACTGAGAAATGATTGTATTGGAGAAATTGGATTATTAGACCTGCTAAGAAACTTAGTGATGAAGGAATAGAAAGGACAGGAAGAAGATAGGGGATGGCATTTACAAACAGTTCTTCAAACTAGTTTGCACAGAATAGACTTTACAACTGATGATATATCAACTCTAATGAAACTTTCATTATCCTGAGATGATAGATATGTTAAATTCGTCAGAAATACTTAGACTTTCAGATAGATATTGCATACTTCACTGGAAAAAAATAAAAAATTTACAAACATACAAAGTAGCATATTTGAAGATGGCATCCATTATTCATATTGTGCTGCTATTAGCATGCAAATTGAAATATAATGTTCAAGCTTGATAATTTTAGGTTTGGATTGAAGAAAAAAATTACAGGTTTAAGTTGAGATAGGGCATGTTGACAAAAATCATTCTCATTATGAGACCATATCTCGAAAGATCTCGGAGGAATTACATACTTCTGTTCGTGAATCTATTTTGCGCCTTTAATTTGATATTATTAAAAGAATGGTTCGGAAGAAAGGGTTGCAGCATTAATAAATCTTGAAATTTCTAATAATAATGAAATTATTTTGACCTGCCATTCAAGAAGGAATGCTAGTTGATGCATATTTTTATCAGGAAGATGCAATTCAGCATCAGTTCAATATGCCCTCATTCCAATCATAGATAAAAGGAAATCAATTCCCATTATAATCCAAATAGTTTAGAGGCTTGGATTGGAGAGCTGTTGGCAGAATATTCGCACAGCAACATCCAAAAAATCTGTCAGGGTACAACATGATAGAAACTAGGCATTAAAGATTGGATAAATTAAATCCTAGGAAGACTTTCATGCCATCATTTACTAATCATCCAAAGACACGCCGTTGTAATTATTTTCCATCGTTATTTTCTCAAATGCTAAGCCAGTCAGAAGGGATAATCAAAGTCAATAACCAGAAACAAAACTGAAGCCAAATCACAGATACAATCGGTAACAACAATCAAAAACCTAGAATTCCAGACAATGGTAAAATGTTCTCGTAAAGATCTCCAGCAAGATAATATACCGTGGATTCCCTTGTCGTGAGCCACGCTAATGGGATTGAAAAGCCACCCTCGCCGATCCCTTGAAATCAGCGAATGCACACTAAACCGAGCGAGGTTGGCATCAGCGTCCGCATCAAGCCCACTCATCAACTGTGCTCTTAAAAGCAAGGTAGCGGAAGCAGGAGCACGTTGAACACGAAGACAGAGCCAGGTGAGGAGTAGGAAGAGCGAGAGGACGAAGGGGAAGGCAGAGGGCCTCTTCAGGAATGCGGCGATTGAAGAGAAAGAGGCCCTTGCGGGCGGTTGAGGGTTATTGGAAAGAGGACTGGCAGAGTGGTGGTTGTGTAGCTGGAGGCTTATCCGTCTAGGGTTTGACATCGTTATGATCTGCAGGAATCTGAGGGCATGCTCGCATAAAAGCTCTGCTTGGAGAGGGAAGCTGAACTATTTATATAAAATAATGGCGGAATTCCAATACAAAACACTCTATATTTATGTATTTACGTATTTCACACACAAATTTTCATTTTTACAAATACAGTACATAATTAAGCACTAGTACACTTTTTTAATAGTAAAATCCATAATATATATATATATATATATATATATATGTTTGTGTGTGTGTGTGTGATAGTTAAATATTTAAAAAACTTCACAAATCTATTTGATGTTTAATATTTGAGATCATCGTAAGCCATCATTATTGTCTGATAATTATTTCACGGTCGTTTTGGTGTGGTTCTTGCCATCAGCCAATAATTGTGCATTTAAGACTCGTTTGGGGCAGCTTATGAGTGCGTCGGCGTTTTTGAAAACGCGGCCTAACTGTTTGGTTGCGTGTTTTTTAAAACGTTGTCTGTCGCGTTTAGGATTTTTACACTAAACGTCAGTCACGGGTCGACCCGCGAGTTGTATTTCAGGATAAGGTGTTTATCCTAAAACGCACAAGCTACCTCAAACAAACCCTCAGCATTGTCCAACGCCCATTGGGGACCGCGCACCACGATAGCGGCGCCTCGATGCTAATACCTGAATTTAAATAATTCTCCCCTTAAAATTTTATTTGTAATGATTAGAAGTGAGTGAGTTTTGATTTTCTCTAGTGTAGGAGAGAAGAGAGGTGAGTGCGGAGTTTCCAAATTATAAAGAAACTTCGAGTGTGATTTAATCTGTACAATTCTTTTAATTTTTTCAATGTTTATTTATAGATGTGGTGTGACTTTGTTATTTTTTTGTATTCTCGTAATATTTTATGTGGTTTTCTTATTTTGTGTGGTTATGATTAAAATTTTTGTTTCATATATCTAAGACTCAGGGTCTAGAATAATTGCATTGTTGGCTAATATTTGCCATCAAGTATATATTCAGCAAATCAAACACCCCAAATATAATGTACTAAACATTTAAAATATATATTTGATGTGTTTCGGGGAGTCTTTGGTTGTAAAATGATTATTTTGCGTCTTAGCGTTAAAAGAAAACCTATCACGTACTTTCGTAATTATTAGAAGATGAGACAACACAATTTTTACGTGAAAAATATTGTAAAATGGAAAAAATCACAGGACTTAGCTCGATTAAAATAATTCACAATGATATAGTTACAAAATTGAATATTTAAAATATATAATAGTAGTTTTATCTATAGCAGTGGTAGTCAAACAGTAATAAATATAGTTCTCGACGATAGCAGACTATAAGGGCCGTAGCCGATTGCTATGGAAGCAATAATCTACTGTGAAAGTTGTGGATCGGTACCGTAGCGTCGGCTTGTCATATAGGTAATTGTTGAAAGTCTTGATATTAGTTGGTTGCGTGAGCCACATTTGTTTGCCTCAAGAGTGTGTTGGTCACAGAAGATGTTGAAAAAGTTGTGGGGTCGCATGCCCGTATCGAAGAGCTGTGATGTTGTTGTAAGTCACGAGGGCTGAAATTGAGAGTTGCATGAGTTATGAATCACATAGGTCTTAATTGGTCACATAGGCTGTTTTGGTGTGTTGTGATTACATTGACTACGGGAGCCCGGAATTGGGAGTTGCAAAGTTGCGGGTTACAAAAGTCGTAGTTAGTCATGCAGGTCATTGTGGTGAGCTGTGATGACATTTGTATACCGCCAGGGCATAGTACAAGAGTTGGCTAGAGGGACGACGATGACCAGAGTTGGTCAATGACAATGGCTGGAGGTGGCAGGGTGGATATTTTATGTATGTTAATCATTGTTTTAAAATATGTAAATAATAATATAGTTGTAAAACCTGTAAATGACAACAATGAATCATAGTCTAAGCATGCTATTTATTTATTTTAATAAACACAACATTTTTTACTCATATCTCTATTATTGCTTTGTATTAATACATCTGTCCTATAAGTAACATCTAAATAGAACTTGATGCATGCTAGAAAATTTGTGGCGGTAGAGTAATGAATTATCGTCTTAGCGTTGCACGAGAATTCAACACACACTCAGATAAAAATGAATCGAGTTGTGATCACACCAGAAGTTTTTACGTGGAAATCCCGTAAAAAAAGGAAAAACCACAGGGTCTGACCCAGTTGTACAAATCCACTATAAGTTGATGATTACAAATGACCATTTGTCCCACAGGCGGGAAATAGTTACCAGCTTTCCACGTTACAACGTCGACTGATGACGTTTAGTAAGCGGTGGTTGATGGAAGTCAGCGGTAGCTAACAATAGTCGACGACGGTCAGCGGTAGTTGACAGAGGTCAGCGGTGAGCGGCGGGGGTGGCGGCGTTCAATGATGGCCGGCGGTGGTCAACAGAGGTCGACAGTGGTTGTCGACGGTTAGTGGTAGTCGACGACGATCAACGATGACGATGGTGATCTTGGACTTGAGCTTCTTCTCAAAGCCTCAAGTTCTCTCTTAAGCCTCCTCCCCCTCATGTGAGGGGTGAGGCTCTATTTATAGTGTTTTGAGTGCAATTAATACATGAATATGAATCATTTTGATCGGACGATTCAAAGAGCTTCCCTTGATCAAATGACGTTTGATGGATGTTTTATTGCCTTAACGACGTCGGAATTGAGCAATCTTAGGCTCGTTGGATTCGTCTTGTCGAGACGCTTGATTCGACTATGAACTCGTTAGATTCAACATCCGTTTGACCTTTCAAATATCTTCAGAAATCTTCTAAGAGTAGTTTGATGATTTGATCCGGGCTTGATTTGACTCGGATTGGACTGACTTTCATATCATTATATTCGTCTCTTCGAGTCGATCAGTTTGATTATAAGTTTGCTGAAATTGGAGTTCCGGATGACTCTTAATCGAAGTTTGAATATTTATTGTTCAAAAAATTGCACTGAGATTCGTGCCGGATGATGAAAATTTATTTGTGGCGTATCAGAACTTAACTTACATATGAGCTATCAACAAACTATCAACATAGTAACATCTAAATATAACTTAATTTTCTTTAAAATATATAATTTTTAATTCATAGGAATTCAAAGATAATAATTGTAATTTAATTATCATCTCATGGTGTGTTTCTGCCAAAAAAATTCAATTCACCTGGGTCAAATCTTGACATATGATAGACCATTTAGTTACAAAGAAGACTAATTTAAATTGATTGAATATACAATTGACAATTATTCAAATTAAATCACAAATATTATCAAATTTATTTAATTTATTTTTTAATATATTTTAATTAATTATAAATTAATTTAATATATACTTAAAACCATATAATTTTTATTGAATATTAATAATTTTGCCAGCAATGATTCAATTAATAGGAAACATAATTACTATGAGATAATATCTTAATTAATTATTGATTTTTAGTTTATTAAGTTAGCCAAATACATGCCATAATTTTTATGTATTTTTATATTCAACACAAAAAAAATTATATTTATATTTTTAATATTTTAACTTTTAAGTATTTGCATAAAAATGTGAGTTTTACTTTTTAAAAGTTAATAAAACAAATAATTTATTGGTATAATATTAATGCCTCCTCCCCGAAACCCTCGCCGTCGTCCAACGCCGCTCAGCCGGTTTTGCCAAAAATCATCGCCGTCGTGACCAAAAGCTCGCGATACAGCCGTAGTTAGGGCTAGCTGGGAAGTCAGCGAAAGGATCGCAGGGTACAAAGACCTTCGAAACTCCCATCTTCTCCTCCTTGCAGTCCGCTCATACCGGAAACCATTGAGTAAGGTAACCCTTGTCTTTCTTTCCCACGCATTTGCGCGCTCTCGGCTGCTTTAAATCCCGTAAATCCATCTTCCAGCGGGATTTACTAAATCCTGAACTTAAGGCTTAACGGAGGAAAAGCGGGATTTAAGAACCTGTAGGATTTACAGATGTCATTTTTACTGTTTGGCAGGAGGTCTTCTGCGTGGCGATTCTTTGATTAGGTTAGGGCAGCTCGCTTGTTGTAGCAGTGAACATGTCTTCGCTTAGGAATGCAATTCCGAGACGAGCACATAAGGAACGGGCGCAGCCGTAAGTCTTCCAACACCCATTTGTTTTTCATTTACTTATGTAGAAGAGCTTGGAATTTTGATTTTTTGAACTGTGTAATCAGTCAAGCAAGGAAGAAATTTGGACTTCTTGAGAAGCACAAAGATTATGTGGAGAGAGCCAAATCATTCCACAAAAAAGAAGAGTCTCTTCGTGTAGGTTTTTTTCAGTAATATTCTCTGTTATAATCATGGTTACATCCGTGTGGTAAAGGCATTTTATGAGATTTAGTGATGTGCTACCTGTTTCTTACAGATTCTTAGAGAGAAAGCCATGTCCAGGAACCCAGATGAGTTTTATTTCAAGATGATAAATTCGAGAGTGTTTGAGGGAGTACATAGACCAAAGTAAAATACAACTAGCAACTTATTTTCATTTTTATTTCATATTTTGCATTTTTTTGCATTTTTGTTCATCTTTTTAGTTAATTTCCAATCTTTTTTCAGGAGCCAAGCAAACAAGTATAGCCAGGATGAACTTATGCTGATGAAGACTCAAGATATTGGATATGTACTTCAGAAACTTCAGAGTGAGAAGAAGGTTAATACTAGAGCAAAACAGCTTTTCTTGCTAGATGAAACAGTGTCTTTTGATTGATAATTCTGTATTATATATATATAGAAAATCAGTATGCTCAATGGTGCGCTTCATGGACTGGACAATAAACCACCAAACAAGCATGTTTACTATGCTGAAGACAGGTACAATCTTCTCATTTTCAGTCTGTGGTTATAGTATTATTTCGTGTTGATGATCACGTTGCACAGAATTGCATCATTATAGATCATTTATTACATAAATTATAGCAATGGCAGAGGTTCAAATAAATTAGAGGAAGGGTTGATAGAAGATAGAAAATGGAATGAAATTTTGGAAGAATTAGGAATATATTAAACTAAAACAGTAATTTTTTTGGCAGCCAACTTTCAGCTTTTCAAAGTGACATAAATAACATAATATTGATATATATTTAACTGTGCATGCAGGCAAATTGCAAATACATGTATTTTTTTGCCTGTGAGTTTTTGTACAAATGCATCATGCACTCATCAACCTTTTGGATATGTTTGTGTAGTTCTCAATTTCGTAGCATGCTAAACTTGTCAAAACCAAGTAAACAAGCTAGTGCTTAGATTGGTAACTTTTCAAAAATCTTAAGCAAACGTCATCAATCACACAGTTGACACATTCTTGAAAAACCTAGTATTTTTTGTCAGATTATTGTTCTTTGGATATTTTTGTGCAGTTATCAATTTTGCAATTTGCTGAACTTGTCAAGATCTACTGAACAAGCTAATGTTTCAATTGTTAATTTTTTAACATTCTTTAGCGGACTTCGTGCAACTGGTTATTTTATATGGTCTTGAAAAGCCCTTTTTTTCGGATTATTGTTGAGAAATAACTCTTAATCTTGGAGCCTGGTCCACCAAACCTTTTATCAGTTGCATTTTTCTCAGTAACGGCAATTGCATGATTAGCCTATATTTAAAAAACAATTGCCAATATGCATATGTCTCAGAGTTTGATAATTGGTACAACATATCATGTATCCATTGTGTTGGTGCTTAACTCAAGAAATATATCATTGGTAAATTTGACTAAATTATTTTCTTAAAGTTTGGTTAGTTTACAATTTCAAGATAGCATTGAAGATTCAGAGCCAAGATTTAACATCAATTTTTTTGGTTTAGTATCTAGGTTCTTAATTGCTATGTTGTAGATTTGGCACCCTATCATAGAGATATAGAAGCAGAGAAACAAATCTTAGATTTCAACTCACATTCACAAATGTGTTAAATTTATATTTTGACATTAAAACACAAGGAAAGAGAAGAAAAACTATTCTTAATGCTTTGCATACTCATTAATCTTTGGATTGAAGCCCAATTAGCATTGAACTTAACCATATTTGGTTCAAAGCATCCCTCATGCTCAAGCACTTTCATCATTTAAATATCTGAAATTTATATATGAAAGTTGAATAATAAGCTACATTATAAACTCACTTTGAACTTAAATTGTCCATTGAAGCGACCTTGCATTTAGGGGTGGAATCAGGATTATTTTTTTGGTGTGCACAAATTGATAATTTTAAAAATATTAACTTTTAATAAGTGATTTTGGGGTTGTAAATTGCATTTATAACTTTGTTATTAGAAATTTAATATAAAATGAGAAATTTTTGCTAATGAAAAAGTTATAGTTGAAAGCATTGGATGACTACTTGAACACCATATATTTTTTCACACACACACACACACACACACACACACACAGACACACACACACTCACAACTTGATAATCATTCATACAAATTTCTTTTATTTGATCGCACAAACTACTGTTTACAATATTCACACAGGCATGCATTTTCAATTATTGCTGTAGTAACTGATAACATCGAAGTAAGCTTTACACGTAAGAATATCAAAGGATAAATATCATTTTTGTTTTGTTCTCTACTAATTTTTGTGCAATCTCTCAAATCCCATTCACATGTGATAATGCTTGATTAAATTTTGTCATAATAAAATTTTGAAGCTTATTTTCTAATACAGTTAAGATTTATAATTGAGAGGATAAAATTTGGCCAGTTAAACGTTTTTCCTTGTTGATAATTTATATGTATTCATGCAAGCCACACATTTGAACAACTAAGTATCAAATATTTCATCAAGCTTTGAAATTGCAGATGTATCACAGAGTAAAATAGCTCGACATGTTAATGATGTAAATATTTTATTTTTTTACCACATCACTTCGACCTACCACACATTAAAAATATATCGGCTATGTTTAGAATATTTTGTTATTTTTCATAAAATAATTGAACTTCAATTATAATATTTCGTTCATCATCTCTCACATTTTGAGGCATTTGTTTTGATATGCAAGCCACCTTGGTCTGGTAGTCGGGAGCTTTGTTTTTCTACTAAGAGCCCTAGGTTCATTGCCTTGTATATGTGGTGTGTGCGTATTTGGGTGTGTTTGTATGAAAAAACTATGAGCAAAGTGTCAAAATAGTCCTCTTAAATATTTGTATTTGGTCATTTTAGTCTCAAAGTCTATAAAGTGCCAAAATTAGATCCCACTCTTTTAATGAGAGCTAAAATAGTCCTTGTGGATTATTTTAAACCACATTGAGAGAGTTTGTGGACTAAATTTCAACTTTTGTGGACTATGGGACTAAAATGACCCCCCTTGCAAAGAGCTAGGGGATTATTTTGATACTTATCTCTTTTAGCCAAAGTCAAACCATTGATAATGTCTTGATTCTTTCTCTGCACTTCTCATCATTTTTGCTGCTCAATGATCTGTTAAATTATTTCTCGCAGTGTACATCTCTTCTTTTGTATGAACTCCCAACAATGTTTATCAAATTAAATATTCTGTTAAAAAGTGAAGCAATCTTGTTATGATTCATAGAAAGATCAGCCAGTGCTAATTGCAGTGAGCAAAATACGATACACAATAATCAGTATTATTATTTTTTCCGTTCAAAGTTTCTACTCCATTAAATTCACTACACATGTTGCTTGCACGTGATGACCATGGCCATGTAAATGTGCTATGCTTAATTCATGCTTTGGATAAAGTGCTTTGATTGCTCTTTTTAGTTTAGTGTTCAAGTAGAAATCCCATCTACATGAACAATCCAAAAAAAGAGCTCATTAACATAACCTCGTTTATCAACTTAATGGATTGCAATAGCAATTTATTTATTATTTGGTTGATACATATTTAGTCTCTAATAAAATTACAAATGACTCATTGTAAATTCGTTAATTCTAATATTTGAAGCCCCAGTAACAACATCTTTTGTGTGTGTGTTTTTGTATTATCGGGTGTAAAAAATTTATTATTTCTGGACGAAATTTTTAAAAAAGCCTTCTTTACATTTTCATTCTGGTTTGCTGGGAAGTATAAAGTTCTAAAAAGTTTCCTTGCTTTTGGAATTTTCAGATTGACCACAAAAAAGTTGAGCTTTTGTGCAAAAGGGAGCATTGACAATTACTAACAGTATTTAATTGTGCCCAATAATTTATTGAGCTTGATCATAAGATTTTCTCGTATTTAATTCGTTAAATTTTCATACTTTTTCCAACAGCACCATTAACCTTACTAACTTGAACTTGAAATTCATCATTTTTTTTTTTCAATTTCAAAGCCTTGTTTTTTCTATACTATTTCCAATTGCTTGTTCTTCTATGTGATGCCTATAAAGATAAAAAAACAAATAATTAGTTAAAATCTTGTAACACTATACTCCAATCAGCTTTTATAATCATCAAAACACTCTAGATTAAATCTGCACAATTTATTTTTACTTCGTGTTTGTGGGAACTCATGATCATGACATTAATATGGTTCTTTTTGCAATTAATTTTTTCATGCTGGAACTCGATCATTTGAATTGTATTCTAGAATTTTTTTCTTCAAATTGAGATTTGTTAGAATATCATCCAGATTGTCTTCTGCGCAAATTTTTTTCTAACTTTGTATTAGTATTTCCAATAATATTTGCATACAATGCACGAATATCATCAACTTTTGGTTTTTTCTTTCATATCTAATGAAATAAAAAACGAGTTCAAATAATGAATATTTAATAATAAGCTCGTTTTAAATTAACTCAATCAGTTTATATACTATTCGGATCATCACATTTTAGTTACAAACTTTTTTAATCTTTTAGAAATTAGAAGAATGATGTTTTAACTTTATGGATTAAACTATGCTTTAACTCCTTTAATTATAACCTATTGAATCTTTTAAAAGGTTCATCATGAATCATTGTTAAACAGCAACATTATTTTGACTTTAGAAACAAGAAGAACATGAATTTATTGGCTTATCTATAAATAAATAGAATTTGAATTTATTAGCTCATAGATTAACAAAAGAGTATTTATAAATACTGACAATAAAGAACTCATTCAAAATAATTGTTTTATAATACTCATCATAATAGGACTTGAATATAATATAAGACGAAAATTATAGGGAGCGAGAGAGTCAAGAAAGCAGGCATTATCCATGTTAATATGATTAGGGGTGTCCATTCGGTTGGTTTGGATTGATCGATTTTTAAATTAGTCAACATGATTGAAACTGAAATTTGAAATCTGGAAAACCAAATCAATCAAAATTTCAATAAAACCAAACTGACCAAACCAATGTTTACTTGGATTTAAACTGTTTGAATATGATCAAACTGAAATTTAATCACCTGTTAGTGTTTGTTTATGAATAAACATTATCTTACATGTATAATATCAATATAATTTCATGAATCCTCCTTTTAATTTTGATTTTTTCAGTTTATTTGATTAAATGAAAATTAAAACCAAACCAAAAGCCGAAAATCAAATATTAAGATTTTAAAAACAAAAAACCAAAATGCATTTTGGAAATCAAACTGAATTAAGCAAACTTGTTCGCTTCGATTTTTGGGTTTTGACAAATAATGCACAACCCTAAAGATGGCAAAAAATTGTGCGACTATGTTGTAGATTTACATTGAAGGGAGGATCTATGGGGGCAATGAGAAGATCTATTAATTTGAAGGTGTCAAAGGAATTATAAATTCTTGGTTTTCATTCCTCTGAACTAATTGATTTATTATCATCTTCTCTATTATTCCCTTTATATTAGGGAGGAAGCTAAAGAAATAAGATCAAGATCATCACACATAAATGCTTCACCTCCCCTGCAGACCTTGCCAAGAAAAATTAAGAAGTAAGATTTGTACATTTGTGATTTATCATTCTTCAGATGATGCTATTTGTAAATATCATTTATCATTCGAAGTTTTATGTTATTTTACAAATATTTTGCTTGTCATTGGATTATCTTCAGGAAAAAAGCATCTTCTTACCGGGAGCTGGAAGAAAGGAAGAAAAGGGCGGAGCAGCTGGAAAAAGTGTACACTGAGATGGCTTTGCAAAAGGAACTACAGGTATATATATATTTTTGAAGGGATAATTGCATACATAGCACCCGGAAACATTGCTATTTATAAAAGGACCACCCAGGTTGTTTTTCTGATCTACCAAGCAAATGCATTTAGCGTGTCATGATCAAACTATTGAAAATTTGATAAAAATGAAAATTTTGGGTTGTGTACGTAGCAATGTTGAATTGCATTTAAATACCCCTTTTTTAATCAAAGGAAAAGAGAAAAAAGTTTTCAAACTTTTGTCGTCAAACTCAAACGAGTGAATGCTGAAGAAAAAAGTTAAATTAAAGTTGAAATATATTCTATATTCTTTTAGGGAAAGTAATATATACCCAAGATTCTGTTAATATGAGATTTCTTTGGTAATATAATTACCGTGGGTGCAATTTTTTCATACGATAGTATGCTGGCATTTAGAATAATGACAAGAACAACAACAAACCTTTAATCCGCTAAGTGGGGTTGGCTTACTAAATCATTTTTCTCAAAAAATGAAGATGTTTTACTTCTTTAAAAGAGCTCCCAAATAGAAAAAAAATATTATGTCCGGAGTTCGGATGCAAGCTGTGTCCGGACAACAACTGCGATCCACCGGAAGGAGCGGAGGAAGAAAAAAGAAACGACTTCTGGTGAATGACAGACATTGTCCGAACGCAGCTTGCTTCTGGACTTCGGATGTAATATAATAGGCCCGGAAACCATTTGATAGCTTTTGACTGGTCTCATGCTTCCTTTTTATTCAAGGGAAATTTACATACATAACACACAATTCTTGTCTATTTACATATCTAAAACCTAAATTTTGATATTTACATTTAATAACACTTTGGTGTCATGACCCATGCATGAAAAGATTTATTTAAATTTTTTTAAGTTAATAACAGTGATTATTTTTAATGTGATATTGAAGATTTGAGTGTTGAGAATTCTTTGAATTATATGTCAAGAAAATTGTATTAGAATTACTCCTAATACATGCATAGTTAAAAATTTAATTTTGGTCATTTATCTTAGATTCTCCTTTCATAATGAAACATAATAATTCATTTTCCTGGCCAGTATCCTTGGCGAGGAAATTAGAGTGGCATTTTTTTTTCTTATATACCAAAACTCTTTTATAAAAGTGATTTTCTTTTCAAAATTTTAACAATTAATTAAAATCACCAAAATTTAACTAATTAGATTCCATGCTAGTATGTTAATGTTTATTTCTCATGGAAAATTGTAATCTCTTCTCTCACTCTCCCTCTCTTTCTCTTTTCATCCGCTTCATGTTTCAAGACACAAAAAATTATAACGAAGAAGTTAATTATTATTTATTTGTGTGATAGAAACCTGGTCGGAAGCGCAAGCTTCGTGAAGACGAGATGGTTTCGCCAGCGACCAGACCTGTTTATAAATGGCGTGCTGAGCGTAAACGCTGATGGGGTAGGTCCCCATTTTAGGGGATATTCACATATGTTTTTTCCTTGTGAAGATTTACATACACCACTCCATTCTTTTGTATTTACATATCTAACACTCAAACTTCAATTTTTTGCATATATATGCCACCTTACCCATGCATCAAAATATGTATTTCGCCTTTTAGAAGTTAAAATAGTGGTATTTTTGATGTGATATGAAAGATTTGGGTGGTATAAATATAAAAAAAGTAAAGATTAGGTGTTAAATATGTAAATACATAAGAATAGAGCGGTGTGTCTGTCAATGCCACTCCCCCCCCCCCACAACT